CCCACCTTTGCTATCTCCGCGCGCCATGACTTATATCCGCCGTCCGTCCGCCGTCTCCGCACTCCGCCCCGCCCCGCCCCGCCTTTTTCCTGAGGGCGAAACGTATATTGAGGACGGGCAGAATGAACCCTGGAATTTGTCAAAAGTTGTAAGAACCATCCATTGCCACATGACCATCCTAAATTGTTTGACACTGAACACACTTGATAACCCAGAACCCAGATAAATAGGGGCGACCTCCCCGAGGCTTCTAATCGACCAAATAATCATATTCGCTACCTACCAGTCATTTATTCACCTACCTACCCTTGGAGACTCGCGGGGCCTGGGCCTGAACACATCTGATTTCAAGCTACCACTACCCGTTTGGTGGTTTACAAACTTCCCCCCCCCCCCCTCTTCAGAGATGGCGTCACCTGTCAGTCGCAGTGAAATTCTTGACCGGCTTCGCCGTCAAATTCGAGACGGGAAGCCTATCATCGGAGCCGGAGCCGGTATGTCCTGTCCCTACTTCATTGCCCTCGTCTCCCTTCTTTCTGTGTGTGTGTGTGTGTGTGTGGGTTTGGTGTCTTCTTGTCTCGATTCCGCATCACTAAGGAGATCATCCACCAGGAATCGGACTGTCGGCCAAAGCGGCGGAGGCGGGCGGCATCGACCTGATCATCGTGTACAACAGCGGGCGGTTCCGGATGGCGGGGTGCGGGAGCCTGGCGGGGCTGATGCCGTACAGCAACGCCAACGCGGCGGTGGAGGAGATGGCGGCGGAGGTGCTGGGGGCGGTGCGGCGGACGACGCCGGTGATCGCGGGGGTGTGCGGCACCGACCCGTTCACGGACGGGCCGCGGTTCCTGGCGCGGCTGGCGGCGCTCGGCTACGCGGGGATCCAGAACTTCCCGACCGTGGGGCTGATCGATGGGCAGTTCCGCGCCCACCTCGAGGAGACGGGCATGGGGTACGGCAGGGAGGTGGCGCTCGTGCGGCACGCCGCGGCGCGCGGCCTCCTGACCACCCCCTACGTCTTCACCCCGGCCGACGCCGAGGCCATGGCCGATGCCGGCGCCGACATCCTCGTCGCCCACATGGGGCTGACCACCGCCGGCGCCGTCGGCGCCCGCTCCGCCAAGACCCTGGACCAGTGCGTCGCTGAGATCCAGGCCATCCGCGACGCCGCCGTGCGCCGCCGCCCGGACATCCTCGTCCTGTGCCATGGCGGCCCCATCGCCACGCCCGCCGACGCCCGCTTCGTCCTGGAGCGCGTGCGCGGCTTGCATGGCTTCTACGGCGCCAGTGCCATGGAGCGCCTCCCCGTCGAACGCGCCATCCAGGAGACCACCGCCCAGTTCAAAAATCTCGCCCTGCCATCCTAAAAAGAAAACATCGTCCCGTCAAGCAGCAAACTACCTTCCCCTGCAATGGCTGGAACTCTCGTGGGCTGAGTTATCCAATGATCCGGGTTCCTCTCCAATCTGCGAGCGAAGCTTCGGGTCGATCAGAGACTGACCACATATCTAAACTATCTCATATATAAGATATCAGTTTTAGATTTTGACGAGTTTTGAATTTAATGAAGTTTTTCAAATCATAGCAGTAGTATTTACTCGAGTTTCTATCAACCATTTTATGTTAAGATAACAAATAGTATAAAATAAATCGATCTATAAGATCATGGCTAGAGATAATTGACTTTTCATTCGTGCTGATTGGAGGGTACGAGGATGTTTAGAAGCCCTAACTCGCCAACTACAGACCGTTTTACGACTCGATACTGGTGATGCAGAACTAAGGTTTAAGTGTAATCAACCATCTTAGGGCTACGGTGGTTGTGATCAAATCAACTTCTCAGTGTAACCAATGTATAATTCTATGATAAACAAGAGACACCAAGACAAACAAGTAATTGAACCAGTAATCTCATTATCATCAATCATAGGACATCATTATATGCTATGGGGTAAACAATAATCTGCGTCTGAACTGTGCACAAACTGCAAAACTGTAAACTGTAGACTGCAACTGCAACTGCACTGCCACGGAAAAGACAGCAGTCTTGCCCTCCCCATTAAACAATTCAGATAAAACACTCGAACAATCTTGAGCAGAGTAAAATAACACTAGCGATAAACATACTCGTCCTAGAAAACCATCGAAGATATCAAATACAGGGGAATCGATTCGAGTAATAAAAATGAGTGGCGCAGGTTCGCATCAAGAAATTCGAACAACTCAGCGGGTATATGCGTGCCAAACAAATGCGAGCAAGGGGGCAGCAAAAACGGTCATCAAGAACAGACTCCTGATTCACATTAGCGTTGGCAATAAACAAACGTAAGCAGCAAAACTCTGGACAAATCTCCACTCTTCCCAAGGAAAGGGCTTCATTGAAAACAGCATCTCCAGGAGACACATCTATTGGTTGTTCCCTCCGCGACGGCGGAAGGGAGAAAAGATTGCTCCAAAGAAATTGGTAAACACAGCGCGTAAGATAGTCTTCAACCAGCTGTCATGCTTCTTATGATTCAGAGAAACAGCGGTGACTGACCGATTTTGACTCTGTGAGCGAGGGTTCTCATCTCCCTTGGTGGCCACGGCCTTGTCAGCAGCGTTCGATGACGATTCGGCGGTGGGCTGGCGGGTCGATTTGGCGGCGTCGTCACCGGCGTTGGCTGCATCAGGGTCAGTTCTGAGCTGCTTACTCGTGGCCAGAGAGCTCTTACCCTCAGTGGGCCAAGTTCCAGGCACAACGTTGACGGCCTTGTCCTTGTTCTCGGGCTGGGGTTCCTGTGATTTGGTCTCAGCAGGTGCAGCAGCCTCAGCCCCCTTGTGGGAGACCGAAGCGGCTCCAACGGCAGTAGCAGTTCCAGCAGCAACGGCGGCGGCAGCGCCGGCGGCAATAATCTCGGGTGTCAGAAGACTGTCCTTGGGGGACTCTTGCTCCGTAGCAGCCTCAGCAACAGGTTCAGAAGCGACAATATCTTCAGGCACAACTTCTCTGCTGACTTCTTCCGACTGCAACGAAGCCGGCTCGACAGGAGTATCTTCCTTGACGGCGCTAGCAGCGTCGGTGACTTCCTCTTGGGCAGCCGTCTGCGTGTTGATGACTCCATTGATGGGGGCTTGCACCTCCTTGCCTTCAATCTCGGCGAAAGACACACGTTCAGAAAGTTGCTCCTCCTCCTGCACTTGGGGTTCCTCAGCCGCCTCGACCGGAGTAGTCTCGGAGGCAGACTCAGATGCAAGAGTCTCGGGTGTTGGCTCAGCAGCAACAGGCTCGTCGGCACTTTCCGTCACGCGGGCAACGTCTTCCTTGATGACTGCAGGAATAAAGTCTTCCGCGGCGGGCGCTTCAACAACTGCCTCCTTCTCGGCGACCTCAGGAACAGACTCCTCAACAGGCTCTTGGACGGGCACAGCGACAGGCTCCTCCACACCTGCTGCAGTCGACTCAACCTCATCGATAGTCTTCTCGATGGGGGTCTCCTCAACAACCGGTGCCTCCTTAGGCTCGTCAGCAACGATTGCTGCAGGCACCTCGGGGAGAGTCTCCTCAATGGGAGTTTCTTCAACAACAGGGGCTTCCTTAGGCTCTTCCTGAGACTTCTCGGTGGTGACTTCTGGAGTAGCGCTCTCGTGAAGGGCGTGGGTCTCCTCAACAGCAGGGGTTTCTTCGACAGCAGAAACCTCCTCGCCAGCAGGGTTCTCGACGGCGGGAGTCTCTTCGACAGCGGGGATTTCCTTCACAGTAGCGGTCTCGACGGCGGGAGTCTCTTCTACGGCAAGGGTCTCCTTGACGGCGGGGGTCTCCTCGACGGCGGGGGTCTCCTCGATAGCGGGAACCTCCTCAACAGCAGGAGTCTCCTCCACGGCGGGAGTCTCCTCGACAGCGGGGGTTTCTTCGACAGCAGGGGTTTCCTCAACAGCGGGGGTTTCCTCCACAGTAGCGGTCTCCTCGACAGCGGGTGTCTCTTCTACGGCGGGGGTCTCCTCGACGGCGGGGGTCTCCTCGATAGCGGGAACCTCCTCAACAGCAGGAGTCTCTTCGGCAGCAGCTTCGACAACAGGGGCTTCCTCGACAGCAGGAACCTCCTCCACGGCGGGGGCCTCCTCTACGGCGGGAGTCTCGTCGACAGCTGGGGTTTCCTCCACAGTAGCGGTCTCGACAGCGGGGTTCTCCTCCACAGCAGGAACCTCCTCAACAACAGGTGCCTCCTTAGGCTCCTCGTGAGACTTCTCAAGGGCGACCTCTGGAACAACGCTCTCCTCGACGGCGGGAGTCTCCTCGACAACAGGGGCCTCGTTGGGCTCTTCTTGAGTCTCTTCAGCGGGCGTCTCCGCAACAGGAGCAATCTCTTCAGCAACGACAACCTCCTCAGTCACTGGCTCGGATGCGGTGGGCTCCTCGGTGACAAGAACCTCGGGCGCTTGCTCCTCCACAGCTGATTTCTCCTGGGCGGGCTCCGCAACTTCAGCAACCTCCTCAGTGGCCTTCTCGGCAGCAGCTGGCTCGGGTTGAGCAGATTCCTCGGCGACAGGCTCCTCCTTGATGGGCTCCGCGACTTCGGCGACCTTTGCAGTGACGGGCTCTTCGGCAATAGGCTCCTGAACGGTCTCTGTAGCTTCAACAACATCCTCAGTCACGGGCTCAGCGGCAGCTGGTTCGGCTTGGGCGGGCTCTTCAACAGTAGGCTGTTCGGTAACGGGTTCCTCAGCAGCGGCGGCTTCCACCACGGGCTCTTCGACAGCGACGGTAGGCTCCTCCTGAGCTTTCTCTTCGGCAGTCTCGATGGCAGTAGTGTGGACAGCAGGCGCCTCATCGGCAGGCTCCTCGGGAGCAGAAGTCTCGGGAGCTGGCTGCTCAGTGGAAGAGGCGGGCTCTTCGGTGGCCTCAGCGACGGGCTCCTCAACAGTCTTTTCCTGCTCTGCAACTTCCTCCACGGTGGGGGCTTCGTGAGTTGACTCCTCGGTAACGGGGGTCTCCTGAGCAAGCTCTTCAACGGCCTTGGCAGTCTCGGCAACGATGGCCTCTGCTACAGGCTCTTCCGCAGTCACTGCATCAGCCGAAGGCTCTTTGACAGTCTCAGCAGCCTCAGCAACGATGGGCTCAGCAACAGGTTCTTGAGCAATGGGTTCTTCCATAGCAGGAGTCTCGGCAATGGGTTCCTCCGAAACTTCTTCGTGAGTGACCTCAGGAGTGGCCTCAACAGCAGGCTCTTCAGCAGCTGGCTCTTCCTCCGTTGTGAGCTCCTTCTCAATCTCCTTCTCAAGGGTGGTTTCGGCGACTGGTTGCTCAATGGCCGGCTCTTCGGAGGCCTTCTCGATAGTGGGGTCGACGGCGGATTCCTCGACGGCGGATTCCTCCTTGGTAGCTGGCTCTTCAGTAACCTCAGCAACAACTGCGTCAGCAACTCCCTCCTCAACAGCAGGCTCTTCTGTCGCCTTTTCAGAAGTGGTCTCAGCAGCTAGCTCCTCAGCTGCGGGCGCTTCAGTAGCAGGAGCTTCAACAACAGATTCCTCCTTGACAGGCTCTTCCACCGAAGTTTCGGCAACTAGCTTCTCAGCTACAGGCTCTTCCACGGTCTGCTCTTGGGTGGGCTCAACAACAGGTTCCTTCACGCTTTCCACCTCAGCAGGGACTTCAACGGCAGGCTCCTCAACAACCGGCTCTTCCACAACAGCCTTTTCAGAGTTCTCCACGGCTGGCTCCTCAGTGACAATTTCCTTCTCAGTAGGCTCTTGGACGATCTCGGGAGCAGAGGCTTCGGGGGTAGTGACTTCAGCAGAAGTCTCAACAACCGGCTCCTCCGCAAAGGTCTCTTGGTGAGCAGGCTCCTCCTGAGTAGTGGCTTCGGCGGTTGCGCCTTCCAAAGTAGGTTCCTCGGCAGCGGCTTCGGTCTGGGCGGGTTCGTTGGCGGCTTCCACAGGTGGCTCCATTGGCTCCCCAACAGCGTTCACCTCCGTCACCTTGTCATCAACAACCGTGGTCTCCTTCGGCTCCTCCACAGGTTCAGCGTTAGAGACCTCAGGAGTAGGCTCGTCAGCGACAGGCTCCTTGGCGGGCTCAGAAGCTTCAGCAGCGGCTACCTCAGCCGGGGCATCAGTGACAGCCTCCTCTACAGGCTTCTCCTCAAGCACGGATTCTTCAGCCTTGGACTCATCCACGGTCGTGGTTTCGGCGGCGGCTTCCACTGGCGCAACCTCGGCAGCAATCTCGAGAGACTTCTCGGTGACTGGCTCCGCAACAGGCTCTTCCTTCTCGCCCGCCCCGGTAGAAGCCACTTCAGGAAGAGGCTCGATGGCAGAAGCCTCTGCGACCTGGGTCTCAGTAGGCTCCTCCGCGGCTTGTTCGGCTTCGGCTCCCGCAGTGGCAGGGGTCTCAGTCGATTCTTGAGCAGAAACCGCCTCCGATAGCGTCTCGGTGACAACTGGCTCTTCCGTAACATTTTCGGTGCTAGGCTCGGCAACGGACTCCTCCTTGACGGGTTCCTCCTTCACAGGCTCTTCCGTGGGAAGCTCCTCCTTGGCAGGCTCCTGAGCGGAAATCTCAACAGCGGGGGTCTCGTCAATCTTCTCGGGAGCCTCGTGAGCGACAGATTCGTCGGCAACTGCAGGAGCAGCAACTTCGAGAGGTTGTTGAGTCTTGCTATCCTCGGGCAGCTCCTTGGCCGCAGCGCTGGGTTCAGTCGTGGACTCGACAGGAGCAGCAGACTCGGATGGCTCTTGTGTCAAGGGTTCCTCCTTAACAGCCTCTTCCGTAGACTCGACCACTGCGACCTCAGTTGCCTCCACCTCCTTGACGGGCTGCTCCTCGACGGGCTCTTGAGCGGTCGATTCCTCAGCAGTCTCAGTTGCAACGGGCTCGGTCTCAGCAGGCTTCTCCGAGACGGCTTCCACTGCAGGGGTTTCCTCCGCTGCAGTCTCTACGGCCGCACTCTCGGTAGCAGGCTCTTCGACCTTAGACACGGGCTCGTCGGCGACCTTCTCCGTCGGAGGCTCTTCAACTGCCTTGCTGTCGGTTTCCGGGGCGCTCTCAACAGCAGTGGCCGGCTCTTCTTCCTTGGTTTGGTCCTTGTCGGCGTCTGTGGCGGCTTCGGCAACTTCAGTGATGACTGGAGCTTCTTGAGTCTGAGTGGCGGCGGCTTCTTCCTTTTCAGAGGTTGTCTCGGCTTCGGCGGGCTTCTCTTCCACGGTTTCGGGGGCGTTCGCAGTGACCGGAGGCTTTTCTTCCGAGGGCTGCTCCACAGTCTCGGTTCCATTGACCTCAGTGGTCGCGGTGCTGCCGTTAGTGACAGGCTCCTCCAGCTCGGTCTCTTTTTGAGCGGCGAGAGGCTCAGGCTTGTGCTCTTCGGGCGTAGACTCCTGCGCAGGTGTGTCGTGCTCGGCGACTCCATTGACCCCGTTCTCCCTGGGCGTGGCGTCCTCCGACACAGTCTCTTCCGTTTTCTCGCTGACATCGTTCTCGACAACGGGCTGAACAGCATCGGCCGCGGACTCCTTCTCCCCAACAGTAAGCACGTTGACGAGGCCACCCTCACCCGGTACTACATAGCATAGTCAATTAGTTTCTCTCTCACACGCAAAGAACCAAGCCTACAAACTCAGAAACCCTGCGCTACAACGCAAAGCCCAGGCATAGATGTCGGAGGGAAATGCCTACCATGCTTTACAGCTTCATCGTGAAACCAGGGGCCCTTTTTCCCCTCACGGAATCTATACTGATGTTGGCCGGGAGGCAGGGTCAGATCGTGCCAGAAGAGATATTCGGTGGAGATAAGTCCGTCCTCATCGGGTTCGGTGTCGACGGGCTTGGAGCTGAGCTCGACGGGTTCCCATTGGGGGTCGGAGAAGGTGCCGGCCAGGTAGATGGGGTCGTCGATGGGACGTCGGATCGAGATGGTCACAGTCTCACCAGCGGGGGGAGCCATTGTGAATCGTCGTCGAGGTTGGGGGATGTCGTTACAGTCGTTAGGAGCGCCGGATATTCGCCAACAGCGCAAAAGGGGAAGCGAAAGGAGTTCAACTCGAAAACAGCGATAATGTACAAAAGGCGAAGCGTCCGGCGGGATGCGGAGAAGATTCGGACCGGGTTAGAAAAAAAAAATGGCCACCCGCGCACGGAGGGTAAATGAGGAGGGAGGAGGGGGGGGAAGAGGTAAGGGAGGAAGGTGGGTGGGTGTGTATGTGAATGTGTGTCTTAGGAGGGGTATGAAGAGGAAGAGGGAGAGGAAGAGGAAGAAGAAGAGGGCAAGATGGAGGAATAGTTTAGGGAGGAGGGAGGGGGAAGGTGGTACAATTGGGAAGGTAGTGGTTGGTGAGTTGGAGATAATAGAATTGATGATGATAGTAAAATAAACAAAGAGGGAAGACGGAGGGGGGGAAGAGGGGAAGTCGGGAATAATCAGTGGCAGACTTTGGGACTAGTCTAGCTTCTGTCTGTCTGTCTGGCTGGCTGTCACTCAGTCACTCAGTCACTCAGTCAGTCAATCCCAGAAGGTATGTTCAGGTGTTGTGGTTGAACTCTTTTGACTCGAATGAGAGCAGCAAGCGTGAGGGAGAGAGCGGGAAAAAAAATTGAATAGTGTAAAAATGGGTCCGCACGGAAGACCGATGGAGAACTAGTTCGGTTTACTGGTGGTAACCACTAGGTAGTTGGCGGGGCAGCTGGGAGTTGGCATCGTAATGATTTGGTTGTATGTCATTTTGAATTCGCGTTTGGCTTCGGACCATCTTGTCTCTTGTGTTTCTCCTCGATTATAATCGATTGTTGATTTAAGCGTCGATGTATGTACAGTCCGGAGAATTGACCATAAGGAGGCGAGGAGGGGAGGATAAGAGAGGCCCAAGAGTTTAATCCTACGCAAAACCACCCACTCCGCCAAGGTTATCAGACATCAACCATCCTCCACGAACCAATCCGCGGCGGAAGAAATGGCGTCTCTTCTCGGATGGGTGTCCCGCGCAATGCCTGGGTTTCCCAATCGGGCCATTGGCAAGCTCATAGAGAGAGAGGGGGAGCTGCAAGCCTGCAAGAACAAAACCTGCGATGCGGTGCACGCAGATCGGGAACTCGAACTAAAAGCAGAAAAGAAAATGCGGTGAGCCAGCCCCGCCAATCACCAGCCAGTAAAACACATCCACTTCTGGACCGTTGCACGGCTGAGGTAAGCATGCAGCTGGATGTGTGGGCTTTTGCCCGGTAGATAAGAATTTCTATATTTGTGGATTTCCCAGCACCTTGAGAAGCGTTGTGCCTTCTTGTGTACAGTACAACCATCTATCATCTATCTGTACCACTTGCTCAAGTTGTCAATTGCTGCCCTACAGTACAGTACATCCTACCCGTCGCAACTGACCACAGGAAGACGACTTCAGAATCTCAAGCAGAAAGACCACCAGGGTGCTAGCTAACCACTAGTGGCGTCGGCAGA